AATGTTAATAACCAGATACCAGTCATAAGAAAAGCATATTTTTGATACACTTGAACAGAAATTAAGTTTATTAAGACCTTTAAATGGAAAACTTATGAAAATATAAAAGTCTAAACTAACTGTAGATACAATATTTCAAAAGCTAAAGAAATAATTGCTTTACCTGAGAAGACCCATTTTTTACAGTTGATGTTGGTAAGCTGTAATAACCAATTATACAACAATATAAGCTAATATGAGTGAAATGTAATAAAAATGGAGTATAATAATATAAGCTAATATTGGCAAAATGTAATAAAAATGGGTATAATAATATAAGCTAATATTGGCAAAATGTAACAAAAATGGGTATAATAATATAAGCTAATATTGGTACAAGGTAATAAATGCATGTATGACAGTTATAAATTAATACTGGCAAAGTTTAATAATAATGGTAACAAATGGTTTGATATAGGTTAATACTGGTATGAGTTAAACACATTTATGAATTACAAAAGTAATAAAAATGTTCACTGACATATATAAAGTACTTTGCTTTGTTAACACCTGTAAAAATGTGAAAGTCTTCTGTAAAAAAGGTGTACAATGAATTAATGGTTTAGACCCAAGCTTATTGTATAGAAGTAAGGTTACAACAATAAAACATGTAACTAAGAAGGTATCGTGTAGACATAACTATTCTACATCAGCATCTCAAGCTCTCTATTGAGTTGAATACATAACTGATTCGTCACAAGCCTTTTAGTAATTTAAACACACAACTATTGTATGTTAGCATTCCAAGACCTCTGATACTTTCAAAATATAATAAGTGCCTGACAGCATCCCTAACCTTGTGGTGATCTGAAAACATATCTGTTGACTATCAACATTTCAAGACTTGTTGTGACCTGAACACATATCTGTTGACTGTCAACATTTCAAGACTTGTGGTGACCTCTACACATATCTTTGACTGTCAACATTGCAAGACTTGTGGTGACCAGAACACATATCTGTTGACTGTCAACATTTCAAGACTTGTGGTGATCTGAACACATATCTGTTGACTGTCAACATTGCAAGACTTGTGGTGACCAGAACACATATCTGTTGACTGTCAACATTTCAAGACTTGTGGTGACCAGAACACATATTTGTTGACTGTCAACATTTCAAGACATATGGTGACCTCAACACATATCTGTTGACTGTCAACATTTCAAGACTTGTGGTGATCTGAACACATATTTGTAGACTGTCAACATTTCAAGACTTGTGGTGACCTCAACACATATCTGTTGACTGTCAACACTGCAAGACTTGTGGTGATCAGAACACATATCTGTTGACTGTCAACATTGCAAGACTTGTGGTGATCAGAACATATATCTGTTGACTGTCAACATTTCAATATTCCTGTATTTTTTACATCTGAATAGATTACCTTACATAAAATGTGTCCTTCATAGAAGTTTTTTTTAAAACTTAGGCAGCCTTGTATCAAATATTGCAATATATGTGCTAATCTCCTCAAACTAATTTTGAACTAAAGGGTATAGGTGAGGTATTAAAAATTAAATAGTTTCTTTAGTCAAAAATAAACAAAAGATAATAAGAGATTCCACTGGATTCTAGCACCAGCAGAAAACAAAAAACCCAACATTGATAATCCTGTTCTCTATGTTAATATTACAGACTAACATCATTGTAATTAATCAGTAACAGTCCAAAATTGACACACCTGTTCTCAGTGTTAATATTACAGACTAACATCACTGTAACTAATCAGTAACAGTCCATGATTGATAATAATATTAATATTACAGACTAACATCATTATAAGTAACCAGTAACAGTCCAAGATTGATACAGCTGTTCTCTATGTTAACATTACAGATTAACATCATTATAAGTAATCAATAACAGTCCAAGATTGATATTAATATTACAGATTAACATCATAATAAGTAACCAGTAACAGTCCAAGATTGATACTGCTGCTCTCTATGTTAACATTACTGATTAACATAATTATAAGTAACCAGTAACAGACCAAGATTAATACAGCTGTTCTCTATGTTAACATTATAGAATAACATCACTATAAGTAATCAATAACAGTCAAAATTGATACAGCTGTTCTCTATGTTAACATTATAGACTAACATCACTATAATCAAACAGTAACAGTCCAAGATTGATACAGCTGTTCTCTATGTTAACATTATAGAATAACATCACTATAAGTAATCAGTAACAGTCCAAGATTGATACAGCTGTTCTCTATGTTAACATTATAGAATAACATCACTATAAGTAATCAATAAGAGCCCAAGCTTGATACAGCTGTTGTGTATGTTAATATTACAGACTAACATCACTATAAGTAATCAGTAACAGTCCAAGATTGATACAGCTGTTGTGTATGTTAATATTACAGACTAACATCACTATAAGTAATCAGTAACAGTCCAA